TACTGGAGACTGGTTTGTGTTTGTTTGTGTGTATGTGTGTGAGAGAGTGAATGCGTTTGTGTTTGTTTGTGTGATTGTGTGTGTGGATTAGTAGGTGTGTGTGTGTGTTTGCATGTGTGTGTGTGTGTGTGTGTGTGTGTGTGTGTGTGTGTGTGTGTGTGTGTGTGTGTGTGTGTGTTTGTTGTGTGTGTGTGTGTGTGTGTGTGTGTGTGTGTGTGTGTGTGTGTGTGTGTGTGTGTGTGTGTGTGTGTGTGTGTGTGTGTGTGTGTGTGTGTGTGTTGTGTGTGTGTGGTGTGTTGTGTTGTGTGTGTGAGTGTGAGTGTGTTTGTCTGTGTATGTGTGAGCGAATGAGACTGAGCGAGTGTGAGAAAGAGAACAAGAGTGAAAGTGAGTAAGTGACAATTCCTGCGTATTTGTGCATTTATAAACATTTACAAATATTCCCCGAGAGAGCACCATACCGTAGAAAAGAAAAAAGAAAAGAAAAGAAGCACCATGCCAGAAAAGAAGAAAAGAAAGAAAGAAAAGAAAAGAAAAGAAGAAGAAAACACCCGAAATTCTTAGCAAATCGACACCCGACACAGGCTCCGAACACAACCCGAATCATGAGTCGAACTGCGTCTCACTCTCCTCCCTTCTCCCTTTGCTTCTTCTCGGCTCTCCCTTCTTCTTTTTTCTCTCTCGAGCCTCCCTCTCTTCTTTATTCTCGAGTCTCCCTCTCTTTTTCTCTCTCTCGAGCCTCCCTCTCTTCTCCTTCTTCTCGAGTCTCCCTTCTCTTTTTTTCTCGACCCCCCTCTCTTCTCCTTTCTTCTCGGGTCTCTCTCTCTTCTCCTTTCTTCTCGAGACTCCCTCTCTTTTCTCTCTCTCGAGCCTCCTCTCTTCTCCTTTCTTCTCGAGTCTCCCTCTTTCTCCTTTCTCCTCTCTTCTCCTTTATTCTCGATTCTCCCTCTCTTCTCCTTTCTTCTCGTATCTATCTTCTTTCTCGAGCCTTCCTTCCATTTTTCTCTCGAGCCTCCCTCTCTTCTTTATTCTCGAGTCTCCCTCTCTTCTCCTTTCTTCTCGATTCTCCCTTCTTCTCGAACCTCCCTCTCCTCCCCTTTCTTTCTTAAACCTCCCTTCTCGGATTCATGTTCTCGAACCTCCCTCTCCTCCCCCTTCTTCTTAAACCTCCTTTCTCCTTTCCTTCTCCAACCTCTCTTCTCCTCCTTCTCGAACCTCCCTTCTCACCCCCCCCTCCTCTCCCCCATCGACTCAAGTGGCGGCGGGGGGTGGGAGGGGGGGGGTATGTGTCCTACTTTGCCCCCCCCGAAAGACGGACGACTGAGTAAAAGAGGCCGTTGTGCGAGAGACCGTTAAAAAAGGCGGTCGGATCTCGGGGTTTGTGACTGAAAGGCCGAACAACGGGTTGCTTCATGAGGCTTCGCGAGGCTTCGGGAGGTTTCGAGAAGCTTGGAGGCTTTTAGAGGCTTCGGGAGGTTTCTAGATGCTTCGGAGGTTTCGAGAAGCTTCGGGAGGCTTTTAGAGGCTTCGGGAGTTTCTAGATGCTTCGGGAGGTTTCGAGAAGCTTCGGGAGTCTTCTAGAGGCTTCTAGTGGCTTCGCGACGCTTCTAGAGGCATCTAGAGGCTTCGGGGAAGCTCTCTTTGTTTTCCTTTTCTGCTTCTATTTCTTACTCTTTCTCTGTTTCCGTTCGTCTCTGTCTCCCTCCTTCCCTCCCCTTTTTTTCTCTCCTTTCGACCTTCTCCCCCTCCCCTCTCTCCCTCCCTATCCCTCTCCTTCCCTCCCACGTTCCTTCCCCTCCCTCCTCCCTCTCCTCTCCTCCCCTCCCCCCTCCCTCCCTCCTTCCCCTTCCCTCTCTCTCTCTCCCTCCTCCCTCTCTCTCTCAACGAGCGGTCCTCACGAGTAAAGATGAATGAACTTGAGTCAATGAATCTCGTTGTTTATCGAAAATCACATCACGTTTGCAAGATCTTCACAAAGGAGTTACGAGTTCTATTGTATTATGTAGACTGTCTATGATTTCAGTGTAATTATGTTTTCATTTATTTATTTATTTATTCATCTATTGTTAGGAAATATGTTTTATTTATTTATTTATTTATTTATTGTTAGGAGGTTTTCATTGTCGTTGTGGTCTTGATTTATTTATTTAGGAGAATTTAAGATTTAAGGTTAGAGGGAAAAAAATAAGTCTGTTTCTCACGCACAGGATCCCGTTTCCACACACACATAACGCAAACACACCCACACGCACAAACACACCACACACACACACACACACAACACACACACACACACGCATACACACACACGCATACACACACACCCCACAACCATACCCACACACACAACACACACACACACACACACACACACACACACACAAACGCAAAACACACAAACACACACAAACACACAGAACACGCCACTCCATCACCCCCACCACCAGTCCACCCCCCCTTACCCCCTCCCTACCACCCCCACCCCCACCAACAAGAACAACAATCCCCATACATTCCCACACCCCCCACAACCCCACACAAAAACATTCCACATTCCCCACTGAACACAAATGAACATTCAACAAGGTTCAATTTTGACTTAGACACCCCACCTCCCCTATTTTCCCTTGAGTCTGCCAGGTCAAGTGAGACAAACGAGGCTGACGGAGAAAAGGTTAATAAAAACAAATAGATTTAGTGAGAGAAGTGAAAAGAGGAATGAAAAGATGGAAGGAAAGACGTAAAGAAATAAAGATGACATAACCGGTAAAGAAATTGTTATTAATTTTTTTTTTTTAGTTTTTTTATGACATTATCATCTTTTTCTACTGTTTTTTAATATCAAATAATTATTCTTTTGTTATTCAATTATCATTCTTTCTCGACTCCTTTCGTACAGAATCAGAGGGATCGTGTATGTAATTCCCCTAATTGCCAGATTCTTCAACATGTTCAATTGTCACACAAAAATACAGATAGATAAATAAATATGAATATAATTATAGTTTTCTGGAGTAAATACAAAGACAAAAATATGAAAAACAACAACAACAACAACAACAAAACGCTGAGTGATTCATAATTCATCACTCTTATAATTCGTCATTTAACATTCGTATGAGTAATTATTCATTCGAAAATTCATCCCTCTTTATAATTCAACAAATATCGTTCATAACATCCAAAACATCGCGTATAGTTCACATCGCCTGACATTCCCCCCTTCCCCCCCCCCCCCCCCACCCCACATCTTTCAGTATATACCATTATGGACTTGCCAGGATGTTTAGTTACGTGAGTCAGCTGTGAAGGAGGGCGGGGGAGGGGAAGGGGGGGGGGGGCGAGGGGAGGGGATCGGATGGGGGTCGGGTGGGGGGTGGGGCGGAAGACGTAGGTGGATGTGAACGAGAGAACTTGGGAAGCGGGGATAAATTATCAATATTTTTTTTTTTTGTCAGACTTAATAAATATACTTTTTTTTATATATAAAGAAGAATGTGTTAATAAGGACTGAATTCTTTTAATGATAATTCGTATGTATAATACAGATTGTAGTGTAGTTTGATGTATCTATTGAATAATCCTTGTAATTTTTTCTTAAAGATAATTTGCTGATTCTTATAATAATGCTCCCTTAACATAATCTTAAACATTAATATTTCTGAATTTCATTACTTGACGTTTTAAGCGAATACGTAAAAAAAATTCAAATTGATGGAAAAAGTGCATCTATAAAATAATCTTTGTTAATTTTTCTTCAAAAGACTCTTTGGTATTTCTTATAATAATGCTCCCTGTAAATGATGACAGGAACAACTCTTTGGTATTAACCACAAATATCACCCTTATTGTAATGTTCATATACCTCGTAATACAAACCAAAAACTCATTTACATACACCTTAACCTTAACCATAATCCAAACATCTTTTACTCTATGTTTTACTTATCTCTTTCGTTAATTTCTAATTTCTAAATTTCATTGCTCATTTGCATTTCGTAATTTCTAATTTTCTGCATTGTTCTCTTTCCTGCCTCTATTTCTTTCGAAATTTCTGATGAATTTCTGATTGGATTCTCTTTCCTTGCTCTATCTCTTTCGTAATTTTCTCTTAATTCTTTCTTTCTTTTTCTCTTTTGCTTAATTTCTATTTTGATTGGTTCTCTTTCCTTGCTCTATCTCTTTCGTAATTTCTAATTTCTGAATTGGTTCTCTTTCCTTGCCTCTATCTTCTTTTTCGTAATTTCTGATTTCTGACTCTTTTCCTGCCTATCTTCGTAATACAAACCAAAAACTCATTTACATACACCTTAACCTTAACCATAATCCAAACATCTTTTACTCTATGTTTACTTTATCTCTTTCGTTATTTCTAATTTCTGATTGGTTCTCTTTCCTTGCTCTATCTCTTTCGTAATTTCTAACCTCATTTGGTTTAAAATTCCCGCGCAACGAAACAAGAGATCGATGCTCACTTGTTGTTGTGCGAATAGCGGGACCAGCGATGTGCTTATTCCCACAACACTTTGCCTTGGCGCTTTTAGCCCTTCAGTCAGCAAATCCCTTCTGTGTTGATCAGCTGATTAGTCGCTTTGAGTGAACAAATCTTAACGGATTCTCGAATGACATCTCAACACTGTTGAAAATTCACGAAATCGAGAATCGTATTCCAAAACGATTTCATTTTCTTTTCATAAACTATCGTACACAGGTTTGACAGCATTTAGGGGAGACCGAACTAAAGACCGCTCTATCCACACATCACTGCCTATCCATCCCTTGCTATCTCTGCCTATCTACTTCTGTCTATCTATCGACCTCCCTATCTATCTACCTTCTCCCCCTCTCCCTCTATTTAACTCTGCCTATCTATCGACCTCCCCATCTATCTACCTTCTTCTCCCTCTCCCTCTCTAACTCTGTCTATCTATCTACCTTCTCTCCCTCCCCTCTACCACCCCTACCCATCTCCCGACCTCCCCATCCTCTCAGGGACTCACCCCGACGTCGGTGCGGGCGCGGCAGACGAGGTGGTCCCCGCAGGCGCCGTAGCGACCGCCGCTCGCCGTCGCCGTCTCGTTCTCGCAGCGCTGACCGAGGCCACGGGCGCAGATGGTGCAGCAGCCGCACTCGTCGGGCACGGCGCCCCCGGGGCACGTACCCACCTCGGGGCACGCCGACCTGGGGGGGAAGGGGAAGGGGGGGTGGGTAAGTGGGTTGAGGATGTACATGGACGTGTATGCATATATTTATACATTCATGCACAGACACACACAGGACACGACACACACACACACACACACACACACACACACACACACACACACACACACATAATTACTACTACTGAAATCATTATCTGTACCATCATCATTATCATAATCAAAAATCATTAATGCGCCAATTAATATACCAAGCTGTAAAACTATAAGAAAATTAAATTAAAACAAGACAGGAATAAATTAGTCAAAACATTTCTCCTGCGGATAAAGTGAAGTGGGTGGGATGGCGCAGCCTAAGAAGAGAGGAAGAGGAGAGGAGAAGAGAGAAGAAAGAGATGAAGAGAGAGGAAAAAAGAAAGGAGAAAGAGAGGAGAGAGAAGAGAGATGAAAAGACGAGGAGAGAGAGACAGGAGGGAGAGAGGGGAGAGAGAGAGAGAGCGAGAGAGAGCCAGGGAGGTCGAGGAGAGATCGAGGGAGACGTCGAGCAGACGGAGGAGAGATAGAGACGGAGGAGAGACATCGAGTGAAGAGGGGGTGAGAGAGAGCCGGACATGGACGAAGCGAGCGGTAGGAGAGGACCAGAGAACTATGGAGAGACAGAACAGACGGAGGACAGATGGAGGGGAGGAAGAGAGACGATGACGAGACTGAGCATGTAAGATTGGACGAAAAGGTGGAATAGAGAGGAGAGAGAGAGAGAGACGGAGTAGAGAGAGCAGAGTGAAGTGACAGCAGAGAGAGGAGAGAGAGACAGAGGATGAGCAGGAGACGATGAGAGAGAGAGATGAGGAGAACGAGAGACGAGGAGGAGAGACGAGAAGGAGAGAGAGAGGGAGAGATAGAGAGAGAGAGAAGCTGGTGGGAGAAAAACAAGGAAAGAGATTACAGATAAAAGAAAGAAGGAGAAAGAGACAGGAAAAAAGAAAAGAATTGCGGCAGATCGAAAGACAGGAGACCCACAACACAACTAGCACAGCCACGACAACAGTAAATGCTCATCACACAACATCACATCATCCTACACAACCACAGAGAGCAGGCACTCCATCCTATCTAGCGGATCAAACTCAGATCAGGCACACGGAACATACAACATACCCGTCATATTCTATCTCCAAATCATTCTGAGATTTACAGATTCCATTCCTAAAAGCTTCGACGTAGCATCCTCTACCGGGCTACAACCTAGGCCTCTTCTACTCTCCACTTCTCCCTCTCCTCCTCTCTCTCTCTCTCCTCTCTACTCTCTCTCTGCTCTCTCTCACTCTGCTCCCGCTACTCTCTCTGATGATGCCTGACTGCTCGTCTCTTCGTACGTTCGCATCTCCTACTTGCCATCCTGACTACTTGCGACCTAACTCTTCTCGTTCGCCTGATGTGCGACTTCATGCGGTGTAAGGATCGTAGGCAACGAGGAGAAGCCATCTGAACGTGCGCACGAGCCTGGAGAGAAAAATCGCAGGGAGTAGAGTAACACCTGAAGAGGAATCACGCGAGGAGAACAGTAACGATCGACAAATATTAGGATTTGTACGAGATTGATTAGTGAAAAGGAAAAGCACTTTGAGAAGTAGGAAGTAGTGTGATTGAGGAGCAAATCGGGTAACTCAACCGTGCAATACCACGAGAATATCTGAAAGACCAGAGCTCAGAAGACAGCCACATGTTACTACTAGAGCATTCATCTGATCTGCTTGACCAATGTGTGGATTACTGACTTCATGATCAGAAGTCCAACGAGCGATGTCGTGATCTTATGCCCACACAGACACCAGCAGTAATATAGAGAGTAGATCCCGTTATTTTGTGTTTATAACTTCATAACTCCTAGAACAACATAAAAAAAAGAACATGCGCATAGTGAACTACTCCACACCTGACAGAATTATATTTCATAGTGATTGCATTATATTAGTTTTGTGAATTTCTAAGATTTGATACAAGATCAGCTCTCTTGCGCCGTGAATAAATGAGGTGAAACCGACGAAGAGAGTGAAGAGTATTTTCTATAGTTTCACTGATATCAATTGAC